CAGAGCTCGGGCTCCTTCACCCCCGTGGCCAACGAGCTCAAGCGGAAGGACAAGTACATGAAGATCCTCTTCTCCTGCCACGTCCGCAAGGTAACGGCAACGGGGGGCCTGAGTGTCCAGGGGAACCCTGGGGATGGACCTGGGTGTCCAGGGGAACCTGGGGAGGGTCCTGGGTGTCCAGGGGAACCCTGGGGATGGACCTGGGTGTCCAGAGGAACCCTGGGGAGGATCCTGCGTGTCCAGGGGAACCCTGGGGATGGACCTGGGTGTCCAGGGAAAACCTGGGGAGGATCCTGGGTGTCCAGGGGAACCCTGGGGAGGGTCCTGGGTGTCCAGGGGAACCCTGGGGATGGTCCTGGGTGTCCAGGGGAGCCCTGGGGAGGGTCCTGGGTGTCCAGGAGCTGACCCTGGGGATGGACCTGGGTGTCCAGATGAACCCTGGGGAGTGTCCTGGGTGTCCAGGGAAACCCTGGGAATGGTCCTGGGTGTCCAGATGAACCCTGGGGAGGGTCCTGGGTGTCCAGGGGAACCCTGGGGATGGATCTGGGTGTCCAGGGGAACCCTGGGGAGGGTCCTGGGTGTAAAGAGGAACCAGGAGTTGACCCTGAGGATGGTCCTGGATGTCCAGGGGAACCCTAGGGAGGGTCCTGGGTGTCCAGATGAACCCTGGGAATGGTCCAGGATGTTCAGGGGAACAGAGGTGACCATGGGGATGGACCTGGATATCTGAGGGAACCCTGGGGAGGGTTCTGGGTGTCCAGGGGAAACCTGGGGAGGGTCCTGAATGTCCAGGGGAACAGGAGCTGACCCTGGGGATGGTTCTGGATGTCCAGTGGAACAGGAGCTGATCCTGGGGAGGGTCCTGGATGTCCAGTGGAACAGGAGCTGATCCTGGGGATGGTCCAGGATGTCCAGGGGAACAGGAGCTGATCCTGGGGAGGGTCCTGGTGTCCAGGGGAGCCGTAGGGATGGTCCAAGATGTCCAGGGGAACCAGGAGCTGACCCTGGGGAGGATCCTGGGTGTCCAGAGGAACCAGTAGCTGATCCTGGGGATGGTCCAGGATGTCCAGGAGAGCCCTGAGGATGGTCCAGGATGTCCAGAGGAACCAGGAGCTGACCCTGGGGAGGATCCTGGGTGTCCAGGGGAGCGAGGAGCTGACCCTAGGGATGGTCCTGGATGCCCAGGGGAACAGGAGCTGATCCAAGGGAGGGTCCTGGGTGTCCAGGGGAACCCTGGGGAGGGTTCTGGATGTCCAGAGGAGCATTGGGCATATTTGTGAATTTGGGGTGTTTGTTGTGTGAGTTTGGGATATTTTTGTGCAAGTTTTGGATATTTTTTTGTGAGTTTGGGATATTTTATGTGGGTTYGGAATATTTTTCTGTGAGTTTGGGGCATCTTCATGTGAATTTGGTTATTTTTTGTGTGCAT